GGGCTCTCTGGCGGAGGTAATTCTATGTCTCCAGAAGAAGTGTTTGCAAGCTTATTTGGTTTTGGTGGTAAGTATCTTGTATGCATTTGTAAGTATTATTTATATCCATATTTATTATATCCAATTTGCATAGGGACTGGATATTCCAGGCAAAAGCGAGGCAAGGATATTATCAAACCTTTTAGTGTCACTCTTGAAGATCTTTATAATGGCAAGACGGCCAAGATTTCGCTGCAGAGGGATGTCGTATGCTCATTATGTCATGGGTATATAAATTATATTAATAATGTGTTCTTTTTTCCCATATTTCTTTTCAGAATTTTGATATTATGTATTTTTCCAATCTTTAGGAAGGGTAGCAAATCTGGTGCAACCAAAAAATGTCATAGTTGTGAGGGTCGTGGTGTCAGAGTAGCTATGCGACAAATTGGACCTGGCATGATTCAGAGGATAAATACAGTTTGTGCAAATTGTATGAATAAGAATAAATTGATTTGTCATTTCTATATTATCTTATTATTCCTGACTTTTGTACTTGTGTTAATAAAGGCGACGGTACAGGTGGAGTAATTAGAGAGAAAGATAAATGTAAAAAATGTAAGGGTCTCAAGGTTGTGGAAGAAAAAAAGAAATTAGACATCTATATCGAAAAAGGAATGCAAAACAATCAAAAAATTGTTATGCAAGGTGAGGCAGATCAGGAGGTAATATATTATATTATCATTATTAACTCCATTATATAGTAATTCTGCTTAACAACTGCATTTGATAACCACCATTTATCTAGCCTGGTGTTGAAACAGGAGATGTAATTCTTGTTCTCGAGCAAAAACCCCATGATAGATTTGAGCGCCAAGGGGATGATTTACTTACAGAAGTTAGCATCTCTATTACGGAAGCTCTTTGTGGATTCTCGAAAGTTCTCGTTACGCATTTGGACGGACGTGGTTTGATCATAAATCATCCTGCGGGAGAGGTAATAAAGCCAGGTGCTATTAAATGCATAGCTAATGAGGGTATGCCTCATTATAAGAGACCGTTCGATAAGGGCAATTTATATGTAAAATTCAATGTGGAATTTCCACCTTCTTTATGGATCAATCCAGAACAATTAAAGGTAGGAGTTTCACGCTCTCATTTGTTTTTATACAGCATCTGAACTAGTGGTGCAGGCGAATCGCCGTAACTTGTCGTAACTATCTTTGTAATATGTAATTATTATAATGAGTTACGGCATTTTTGCCGTAACTTTATTATGTTACGACAAGTTACGGCAATTCACCTGCACCTCTAATCTGAACATATCAAAAAAATGTACTCTGATACAGTACTTTGAATAAAAAATAACAGAAACTGGAAGAATTTTTGCCAACTCGCACAGAAGAAGATCCATCAACGCGCCCAGAGATTTCAGATGAAGTGCACTTAACGGATGGAGACTTCACTGAGGTACTGTAAATCAATGTGTTGCTTATGATGCATATTATAATTTTTATTACACTAACACATGTAATCTGAATCACAATATAGTATGGATCAAAGAAAAGGAAAGGTGGTAATGTGTGGGATGAAGATGAGGAGGATGAGGAGGATGAGGAAGAGGAGGAACATCATGTGGGTTGTAATCCGCAATAGTTTGCATGTAGGATTAGTGGTTGGACCCGTCTGAAAAATCATGACCGGGTAACCCGGCGGCTAAACCCGCGGGTCACCCGGGTGGATAAATGATAAAATAAAAACCAATTCTTATCTTTTATAATTATAATATGAAATTGATAAAATATTTGATGAATTGCACAAGAACTATACTAGAACTGATTCATAACATGCCAGTATAATATAATGCATTTCTAACTCTTTTTAAACAACTAAAGCGCCTAGTTACATTGCCAAATTTTTTATATCAGATACTGTAACAAAATTATCATCTCATGAATATCATTATATGAAAGAATTTTAATTTAAAACTCAATTATAATCTATGGATACTATTTAAAAAAATTGATATGTCGAAAAATGACGCGGAACACAGCCACAATGCACATAAAATTTAAGCCATCGCAGACCTAGCTCAATTAATAACAATAAATCCTTAATGCTAACAATACGATACTGTTAAGATATTTTTTTTTAAAAAAAAATAAAAAATAAAAAAAACAAAATTATAATCTAATTTTTTTAATAAAAAAATTATTTTATTTATTAAAATTAATAATAGCTATTTTTTTACAAAAAAAAACAGAAATAACTTAAAATTTAAACACTCTTTTGAAAATTTAAAAGTACTTGACTCTGAAACACCCTTTATTATATGGAGGTAAGTCAATAGAAAAGAGACAAATAGTAAAATTTTTTTAATTTTTAAATTAAAATATCTCAACTATTTTATCAAATTTGCTAAAAAAAATTTTGAATTAAAATAAAAAAATTTTTATTAACTTTGATAAAATAATTGTCAAGATATTTAAGCTTAAAGTCAAGAAAACTTTTTATTTAAAAAAAATTGTCTTTTTTCTATAAACTCACCTCTATATTCTCACTATATTTTGGTGTTTATTTCGAAATTTTTTCCAAAAAGTGAGAAATTTGGCATATTTTTTACAAAGAATTGACATTGTTTATATACCCAAATTAGTACTCGGTAGAATCAAATAAATATTTGATAGTCAAATACTTAAGTAATATTTGACGATCATAATTTCTAAATCGAGTAATGCATAATCTTGATCTAAATAAACTTTATTATCACTAACTCTAATCTTCATTATACTTTAACAACTTGCATTAAAAATAAGAATTCAGGAAAGTATAATATTTTTTTTATATATTGTGGTTATTGAATTTTTTTCAATAAGTATATAACTAACTCTTTCAAGTACTTAATTGAAGGCATTCTTTGATCTTCCTATTCAGTTTTTTGGCATATTCCAGGGTTGTATGATTTGTGCGTCGTTACTAGAATTTGTTTAAGAGCTTCCGGTTTTCTAGTTTCAAGTACTTAATTGAAGGCATTCTTTGATCTTCCCATTCAGGTTTTTGGCATATTCCAGGGTCGTATGATTTGTGCGTCGTTACTAGGATTTGTTTGAGAGCTTCCGGTTTTCTAGTTTCTTTCTGGTTCTTCTGTTCTTAAGAATTCGGGAAAGTATAATATTTTTATATATTGTGGTTATTGAATTTTTTTCAATAAGCATATAACTAACTTCCTTTTCTCTTTCAAGTACTTAATTAAAGGCATTTTTTGATCTTCCTATTCAGTTTTTTGGCATATTCTAGGGTCATACGATTTGTGCTGTCATTACTAGGATTTGTTTAAGAGCTTCCAGTTTTCTAGTTTCTTTTTGGTTCTTCTATTCTTAAAAATTCGGGGAAGTATAATATTTTTTTATATATTGTGGTTATTGAATTTTTTTCAATAAGCATATAACTTACTTCCTTTTTTCTTTCAAGTACTTAATTAAAAACATTCTTTGATTTTCCTATTCGGGTTTTTGGCATATTCCAGGGTTGTATGATTTGTGCTGTCGTTACTAGGATTTGTTTAAGAGCTTCCAGTTTTCTAGTTTCTTTCTAGTTCTTCCATTCTTAAGAATTCGGGAAAGTATAATATTTTTTTATATATTGTGGTTATTGAATTTTTTTCAATAAGCATATAACTTACTTCTTTTTCTCTTTCAAGTACTTAATTGAAGACATTCTTTGATCTTCCTATTCGGGTTTTTGGCATATTCCAGGATCGTATGATTTGTGTTGTCATTACTAAGATTTGTTTAAGAGCTTCCGGTTTTCTAGTTTCTTTCTGGTTCTTCCATTCTTAAGTATTCGAGAAAGTATAATATTTTTTTTATATATTGTGATTATTGAATTTTTTTCAATAAACATATAACTAACTTCCTTTTCTCTTTCAAGTACTTAATTGAAAGCATTCTTTGATCTTCTTATAAGGGTTTTTGGCATATTCTAGAGTCGTACAATTTGTGCGTCGTTACTAGGATTTGTTTGAGAGCTTCTGGTTTTCTAGTTTCTTTTTGGTTCTTCTGTTCTTAAGAATTCGGAAAAGTATAATATTTTTTTATATATTGTGGTTATTGAATTTTTTTCAATAAGCATATAACTA